CTTCGGAGGGTTATGATGGAAGGAGAGATCGTGTTACATCTGCTGACAATGTGGCATCACCAAACTTTTCACATCATTCATCTGTATCTGGACATAAATCTAGAGCAAGTTCCATTTCTTCAAGAGAAAAGTCACCTGAATCTGTTTTATCAGAAAGAGATTCAAAATCTCCAAGATATACGCCAATATCTCCAAAATCTCAAAGATCTGGATTAGTATCTCCTAGTGAAGTGGGTTCTCCAAGATCGACTCGTAGTTTATCAAAATCACCACCTACTTCACCAAAATCATATCATTCAGGAAATAATTCTTTGGATTCACCAAGAAGTGATCAGAGTTTATCTCATTCTCCTATACAAGATGAAAGATCATGCCCATCTACTCCTCATGATTCTAAATCTCTACATCTTGATGATACAGAACCTAAACAATTTGAACTGGAAGTAGATGCACAGAGATCTGGAGATAATTCTCTTAAATCCTATTCTTATAAAAATAGTGAATCAAGACAAAGTTCACCAAAATCTCCGAGATCCGGACGTAGTTCAGCAAAATCATTAATGTCTGGAAGAAGTTCTCCAAAATCAGGTCCAGCATCTCCTATGGATGATCAAGAATCAGAAAAACATTCACCACCTCATTCCCCACCAACAAAAACTTCATTTAATGAATTGGATGGAGAACAAATTTCTGATGGAGATATTGAAGATGAACCTGAATCAATAACTAAATCAAAACCAACGCCAATTACACATGGTGAAGATTTATCCGATGTTTCTGATTTAGAAAGTATAGATGGAGTCGATGGTACTGAACATGAATCAATACTCAAGGAAAATCAACAAAATGAAGAAAAACACTTAATTACTGAGAAAATAGAAAAAGAAGATAAACATGCACCTGTTGGATTAACAGAAGAAAGTGAACAGTTAGATTTTGAAGCTGATGGCCAATGGAAAGATGAACGAGATGAAGGTAATAATTTATAAATCACTTGAATTCAAATAAAATATAATTAAAAAATTATAATTAAATTTATAATTAAAAAATTGTGTTTAGGTGAAGCAGAAGGATCTATTATTAAAGAAAATAAAGACAAAGATGAAAAAGATGGAAAAGATAAAGATAAGGATAAAATGAAATTAAAAGATAGTGATGTAAATGATAAAGAAGAAGGAGAAGAAGATGGGGAAAAAGTAGAATCTGAATTAGAAGAAGGAGAACTTAGCGATGGCGATGATGCTCGACCAGAAGAAACAGAACCAAGACCTGTTTGCCGTTTTTATAATCGAGGTCAATGTACATGGGGAGTTAGTTGTAGATTTTTACATCCAGGCGTAACTGATAAGGGTAATTATACCATGTTTGATATGGTAAGGCCAATGGCATACCCACCACATACAGTGGCTGCTCCACATGAATTTAGACCACATATTGATAGACCAAATATAGTAAGACCATTACCTGGATATGGAGCACCACCACATACACCAAAAATAGAAGATCTTCCTACAGAATCTGCATGGGAACGTGGATTACGACATGCTAAAGAAGTAAGTTTATATTTTATTTATCTTTGATTTGCTCTATTTTTAAAGAAATCATTTATTGTTTTTTCAATATTTATTATATATAGTTGTATAAAAAACATTTTATATATAAGCAATTTTAAAAAATGAATATGTTATAATATATATTATAATAAAAATTATTTGTGCAAAATATTTTTTCTTTTCTTTTTAAGTTTTTAGTTATCAAATATATTTCTTATATAATTTATTTTATTTAATTATAATTTTTTTATAATAATTTAATAATTAATTTTTATAATAATTTAATAATTAATTTAATTTTGAAATGATTTTGGAGTTTTAAAAAAAATAGTAAAAGCTCAAAAGAAAATGATATTAGAAAAATTATTTTTTTCACAGTGCATATATTCTTTAAAGCTTAATATGTTTTTCATATTGTCACAATTAATAAAAATATTTTTATTATTAAAAAATAAAACACTATTTAAAGTAATTATAACATAATATATAAAAATATTTTTTATTTATCTATTTTCATATAGATGATGCGTAAAGCAAATAAGCGTAAAGAATCAGATATGGACTTTGAGGAAAAGAAAATGAATTTAAGCTTAGGACAAGATGAATTAGATAGAGAAGCAGGATATTATGTAAGAGCAGCTAGTCCAGAACCACCTGTTGAAAGATGGCCACCCAGAGAGGCACCTAGAAGAATACCACCACCAAGACTTACACCAGAAAGATATATCGACGACCCTGATCCTTATTATGCACCACCTGCAGCTCCTCCAGAATATTATAGGTAATAATTACAATATTTATTATTCATCAAATTCATAAAATAATTTGAAAGTATTTATTTGAAATAAGGTATTTAGGACAAATAGGAATCTATTTGCTGTTTTCATTTAAATATTTATCATATATTTCACAATATCCTAAAACAAATATTTAAATATTTTTTTTTTTTAAGGTAGAGTACATTATAAAACAGATTCTCGAGTTACTACTGAATATAGAGAACGTATAGATTATCATGCAATACCTCGTGGAACACCTCACTCTGTTTCTCCACCACCACATACCAGAGAAAGAGAAAGAGAAAGAGAGCGCGAACGTGATAGAGAACGAGAATATTATGAAAAATATGAGAAGAAACATAAACGTCCATCAAGAGAAGTTATTGTAGAACGTATTCCGCCAACAAAACCTTGGCGGGAAGAAGAACCACCACCAGAGGAAAGGAGTAGAGGAGATGAATGGGCAGATCCCTGGATGCGCCGGAAGTCTCCAAGTACAGTACGTCGAAATACATCATCTCGACGATCTCGAAGACAGTCATACTCTTCAGGCTCCTCATATTCGTCAACAAGGTAATTTTTATTTTTAATTTTAATTAATAATATTAATAAATATTTTATACCGTTAATTGAAAGATTATTTAAATTGTAATCGAATTTTTTAATTTTTTTTTTTTTAATATTTATATGTGAAAAACAAGTGTACTGTATGCTGTTTTTAGTTCTAGCCGTAGCTCGAGCCGCTCTAGCTACAGTTCTTACGACTCCCTATCCAGGTCCCGTTCACCATCCCCTCCCTCTAGAACCCGTGGTGCTGGCAAAGGGAAAGCAGTGGTGACGTCGCCACCTTCTAATCCTCCAACGGTCGCAGCTACTGCACCTCAGCGAGGTGCCATGTTAATGAATCCACCTGCTCCTTCTCCTCGTCCACCTAAGGGTTCCATTTCTCCTACAACTGGTACACTTCATCGACGTGCTGGTCTTAATCCACCTGCACCGAGTCCACTTTCTTCTCATCAACGTCATCACGAAAAAGCAAGAGACAAAGCAGCGATAGCAGCAGCTGCAGTAGCAAAAGTTATTAAAAGTCGATCAAGATCGAGGTAATATATAAAAATCATTCATCAATTGAATAAAATATACAGATATTTGTTTTAAAATATTGAAGTACATAAAACTGACAAAAACATAATATACATATTTAATATATATGTAAAAAAAATGTGTTTTTAGGTCATCGCATAGTAGTTCAGGTTCAGAAAGCAGTGGTAGCAGTAGTGACTCTAGTGAGTCGAGTTATTCCTCTTCTTCCAGTGAAACACGTCGTAGAAAAGGTTCCACTCCACCGGTAACACGAAAAGATTCCAAGGGTATTGATGCTTTGAAACTTAGTGGTACTAAACAACAAATCAAGCTTACATTAAAGCCAACAAGCAATACTACAGCTGTGAAAAAAGTTGATCGATCTGCTTTAATGGCTGGAAAAAAAAGAGGCTTAGAATCACCACCATTAATTGACAGTAAAGCGAGCGTTGCTGCAGCTGCAGCCAAAGCTGCAAAAAAAGCAAGTTCACGACGAGAAGAATTGTTAAAACAACTTAAAGCAGTAGAAGATGCAATTGCGCGTAAGCGATCAAAAGTTTAATAATACAACATATATTAATTATTTTAGAAATATGTATGTATACACAAACGCAAACACAAATATTTCCTACATATAATTAGCTGCTATATAGTAGCATGAGATAAAAAAAAGATATTTCATATCAGGATAAAAATTTCTAATTTCACAAATTTTTCTAATCACAATATTAATATTTAACTTTTGAATTTTTTTTCGCTAACATGTAAACACAAATCGAACAAATATATTATATTACTATAATTTCTTCGTTATTGAAGATTAAAAACTATTCGTGTTTCGTTACGCATGTACACATACATGTATGTGAATGTAAAAACTTCGAGTTTCTTTAAAAGTTAAATGGTCATAGTAATTTGTAGAAATAAGATAAAAATAAACTACAAAACGACGTCTTAAAACTGCCAAATACACGTAAATAAAACGTGTAATTTATTTATATATGAAAAAAAATTCTGTTGAAATATACAATATGTCTACAATCATAATAAACTTAACATTTTTAAATAGATACAAACAAGTTTGATGATAATCAACGACAATAAAATGTCGCACTAGTATAAATATTTTACAATATCTTTTTTTTTATCTTGGACAATTTATCTTGAACAAATTAAATTTATTATTATAACATTAGCATCATTAGTTTATTCAGACTGTTAAGAGAAATAATTCATTAATTTTAATATTTTTATCTAAGGAAAAAAAAATATTAAAGAGTGTGTATATTTTATATAACTATTTTTATGTTACATATGTAATTATAAAAATCACAAAAATTTTTCATTATAAAAGATGGAATATATAATGGTTAAATAATTTTACCATAAATAAATTTAGTGAACAAATTTAGAGACGTTTGTTAAAAAAATATTTTATTCATATAAGTTCTAATAGAATAAAACTTTCTGCAAAATAATATATAATACATATAACAATAATAAAATAAAATTTGGGAAAAATAAGAAAAAATTTTTATTACAAATATTTTATCGACTAATGAAACAAACATTTTGTTAAATAACATTTTGTTAAATAATTTATTAAGTTATAAATTACAAAACAAGATTACAAAATGTGCATAATAGTAATTATATACACATACATACTAATTAATTGAACAGTCCATAAAAAGATAGAACAATTATTTTGTTTGATATTTTATATATAAATTAACAATAAATTACACAATGAATAATATATACTTATTTAGATTTTGATTAAGAGAAAAAAAATATAATTTTCATTCAAAAAAATTATTTAATAATAAATACAATTTATCTAAAGTTCAAAATATTTATATTAAAATGTTGCATATATGATATTTAAAATATTATTTTATTAGCACTGCATTTCATTTTTATTGATTTTTAAACTGTTGCATGAATTAAAAGAATAATTATAGAATTATTTTAAATAAATATAATCATCTCAGGATATTACATTTTTATATTTAATATATATACATGTAAAAAAATTACGTAAGTATTAGAATTATTGATCAATTCTATTATTAAATATGAAAACTAGAATTTTTGTTATGTTCTCAGAACAGTTATTTCGGAATCTGATTGCCTATTAATACCGCTATCGATATTTTCTTGACTCGTACGAATAGGAAGTCCCATAAATCTATTAGTACCATTTAATGTACTACGTCTCGATCGTATTAAACTATTGTCGTGGGTTTTTACTTCATTATATTTAAATAAACCATCGCCAGGTGCAGGCAATGTGCTTTTTGAAGATTTATACCACCATTGATACGTAATGTACCATGTTAAAACGGCGGCTACACCTCCAAGAAATTTTTCTATCATAATATGATAATAGAGCATTGTAGATATTAACATGGTATCCCAAAGTAATTGTTGTAACGTCATTGCAACAAAAAGACCTCTTAAATAGGGCGTAAGTGCTTTATGTGCTTTTTTTAAAAATTCTAAATCAGAATTCGAAAGATTTCGAAGCGGTCCAGTATTAGGTTCATTCGGGGTAATTCGCGAATGTTCTTCGCGCATAATTAAATCCTTTATACCCTCCCATCCAACCAATGAAGAACCTTCTTCTGCTAGAATTAAGCTTGAGTACATAAGAATAAATGTATGACCAGATATATCAAAACCACTCCAAAATTTACCAGATTGAAGACATTTTGCTTTTGTCTGTAATTGTATATCTTTTGTACTAAGACATCGACCATAATTAGTTTCAATATAATTAAATAATTTTATCCATAATATCCACGCAATCGTAGCTAATCCCAATCTAGCAAGATGTTTTAATAAAATTGATCTACGACCACAGCCAATTGTATGTGCAGTTAATGCAACCCATGGAACAGTTACGCTCAGCAACCATCCCCATCCCCACTTCACAAAATATTGATTAAGAGCATTATCTGAACGCGAAAAATAAGTTCTTGGCATAGCAATAAAATCTGCTATTAGTGATACTACAAATATCGCACCACAATATATAGTAACTTTGAGCCTTGTATCGAAGAGTAGAGATTTTTTACAAACATGTAAAAACATCGTTACAAGTATGAGACCTATGGAGCTTGGAGCAGCTGTTGGTCGAGTTCCGCCTCTGTCTTCTTGGCTTGAATTTGGACGAAAATTTAGACGACTCGACCTTAAATTATTAGTTGATGATCCGAACATCGCGGAGTTACCGGATGATGAATGCATGCCTCTTCGTTTTCCTGTAGCCATCGTATTATCAATTTGGGAGTTATCATACGTACGTTATTAATATTTAAAAGTTACGTTATATTGCTGCATGGTAAATTAATTCCTTTTACACAGTCAAGGTTAGCTTTTAGCTGTTTGTATCCGTTTCTTTTACATGCAGCTGAAACTCTTGTGTGTTAAATAAATTAACTAATTTAGGTATTATCAATAGATATAAGATACCCGTTATTGAAAATAGTATTACATTGTATTTTATTACACTGTATGCTTTGATTACATCGATTTGCTCTGTCATCCAATAGCCTTTCTCTCACACTATTATAAAAAACTACATATTCCTCCATTAAGTCTACAATTAGACCTCTTTCACATGACAATATAAATATTATCATATTGCTTTATGAATATTGATAATATGTATTTAATTATAAATTCAATAAAACTGTTTAGTTAGCGATCGTCTCATATACGATCAGTATTCATATCATATTGTATTATCATATAATATTGATATTTTCATTGCCATGTGAAAGAAGCTTAAGATTTAAAATTCTAAGTGGTGGGAGAAAAATGAAAATAGATCGTATAATTTTAATAGATTTTAATAAATTTAACTAAATATTATTAAAATAAACTTTATTTAAACAATACTACTAATATACAATGCATTTTTTTTGTTTCTCAAAAATAACCTCGAAAACAGGAGATCTAAGATTAAGATTTTTTTATTACTTTAGTATTATTTTCAATAATAATATTGATTTGGCTCAGAATAAGATTGTAATATTAGAAAATAATGCAAATTTTTTTTAATTCTTATTCTTGTATTATTAAAATAATACAAACTTTAATTATTTTACTATTATTTTAAACATTTTATTATATAAAATATTTTTAAAAATCAAAAATTTCCATCAATTATCGATGTGATATTATTTCATAAATTAGTTCCGTGATAAAAATTAAGATATTGAAGATTATATTTTCAAAAATAAAATCATATTTTTTTTTTAATCTAAAATCAAAATATTTGAATCAAAATATCTGAATTCAATGTTTTTTAAAATAATATTTATAACATAAATTTTTTTCAAATATTTATAAAAAATTTATATATGAAATAACAAAATAAATTACAAAATAAAATGTATGTTTTGTATTGTACATTTTAAATCATAAATTATAAAATAATCTGTAAATTAATATTTTGTTTATAATTTTTTATTAAAATTATATTCATATTTGATAACAGTTTTTATATTTGTATTTATAATGGTTAACTATTTTGAAGATTACAAATAGCAAAAAATAGATTCAATAAATATAGTGATAGTGTCATTTTCTAATAGAATATTTCAAAATTCATTCCTATCTTTTTGTTTATTTGTTTAAATTCTATCGCTTTTCGAATGATATTTTGCATTAAATCATTTGTGTCATATATCAGTATATTATATCTTACGAAATAATTTTCTTAAAGATACACTATAAAACCAATGATATAATATTTACATGTTACATTAAAGATTAAAAGATATCATTATAATTTTGAAAAACAACATTTGTTATGTTGATTACGCGCCAAAAATAAATATAGATAAAAAAAATAATTAAAGTAGAATAGAAATAAAATAAAAATTGAAGAATCATCATTAAAATACCACAAATGAAACTGATATAAGTAAAGAAAGCAAAATAAAAAAAAAAAAAAGATAAAAATAGATGATTCAACATTATCTCTTGGATACAAAGAATATCTCTCCAAAAGTAAAATAAATCAGAATAAAAATTAAAGATTTACGCCATCTCTTGAGTGCTTTTAGAAACATAATTCTTTAAAGAAAATTATCTCTTTTTATTTGTTGTTTTTATATTTCCATAAAGCATGAAAATGATAATGATATATGAATATATGTATTAATATATATCAATATATATCATCAAATAAAGTAGACGCAGTAAATCGAAATAGGTTTTATATAAAATTATATTTATACTTTTAAAATAATTTATTATAATGTTACGCTCTTCAATAAATCGATCTATGCAACAAATTAATCGCAATTTATCAGAAATAAAATGTAAACGGCTAGAAGGAAAAGTAGCAATTGTTACAGCATCAACACAAGGGTAATTCTTTTATAGAAATTATACATTCAATTTTTTTCGTTAAATAAATATAGAATAAAATTTATTCCATAGTTATATTAATAATTATATTATTTAATAAAATGTAATTTATTATAGCATTGGTTTTGCAATAGCAAAACGTTTAGCTGAAGAAGGTGCTAAAGTAATGATTAGTAGCCGTAAGGAATCAAATGTACAAAATGCTTTAAAGGAACTTAAGTCTAAAAATTTAAATGTCTGTGGTATGACATGTCATGTTGGCAAAAATGAAGATAGAAAATCTCTTCTTGAAAAAGTAAATTTTTTATTTATTTTATTTTATAAATAATATGAATTTATAATATATTTTTTTATAAAAACATAATTTAATAATGTAAATAGACCATACAAGAATATCATGGCTTGGATATTCTAGTACTGAATGCAGGTATAAATCCAAGTTTTTCTACTTTTTTTTGAAACTTCAGAATCAGCATGGGATAAAATTTTTGATGTCAATGTTAAAAGTACATTTCTTTTATTAAGAGATTCCTTATCATTTTTGAGAAAGAGCAAATCAGCATCAGTAATACTTATGTCCTCAATAGTAGGATATTTACCACTTGGTGTAAGTAATTATATTTAAAAAAATGTCTCTTATTTTGTATAATGTAAAATAATTTCTATATATAATTTCATAAATTATTTATTTATTTATTTATTAATTTTTTTTTTTACATATGAAAATTTATATTAAAGATGTTAGGTGTATATTCTATTAGCAAAACTGCAATATTAGGAATGAATCATGTAGCTGCTAATATTCTTGCACCTGAAGGAATTCGTGTTAATTGTATAGCACCTGGTATCATAAAGACTAAATTTTCACAAACAGTGTGTATATTTGTAATTTTTTATAAGTAGTCTATTATTTAATAATATTAATATAATATATGTATTTCATAGCTTTATGAAAATGAAACAGAGGAAATGATATCAAAAATACCAATGAATAAATTTGGAATATCAGATAATATAGCAAGTGTTGCTGCATTTTTAGCAAGTGATGATGCTTCATATATTACTGGTGAAACTATTGTTGCTGCTGGTGGAATGCAAAGTAGACTTTAAATATATTTTATATGAAACTTTTACACACTATTAAAATTATATTATTTTTTAATAAATAGATGTTAAATATTTTCAAAAATTTTACAATTGAAACATGTTATTTCTTAAAATGTTTATATATATTTTAAAATTTAATATTTTAATTAAATATATATATTTAAAATTTGTAATAATAAAGAACGATTAATAAAAAAAACAATTTTAAATTACAATTTATTTAAATTTGAATATAATTAAAAAATATACTTTATTTAAAAGTTATATGTAATATATTATTTATAGTATAAAAATTATTATAATTATAGAATGCATTATTGAAGTTATTATTTATTATCTATATAATCAAAATTCTATTTATGTTTTATGTTTTCTATGATAATAATGGTATTTATTGGTAAATATAGTTAAAATACAATACAATTAAAAGAAAATTGAATCATGAAGATAATAGTTCTTTTTTGGATTAATTGGATAAATCGTGAATGAAATCATTATATCAATTAAAGTAACCTGTGAAATATAATTCGCGTAATTTCTTAATTCTATAGATTATTAAAATCGAAATTATTATTTTTATACTTTATTCGTTAAATATTATCAGAAGATGAAAAAAATATATTATTCTTGTTGATTCGGTAAAATTTAATCTGTTAATTTATTTAATCTTATCAAGAAGTGCACAAAATAATATTTTTTTATAAAAGATTTATTATTCACAACTAACAACAAAAATATTTGCACATTTAAAATAGATCAATCATAATATGAATTTTTAAATACAATGAAATGGTTAGATTTTTTTGAACAAAACTTCTTACTTTTAAAACTGATAATAAAAAAAAATATTTTATTATAAAATAATAATTATAGATTTTTCACATTTTTTATTATAATCTTAACTATCTTTAACATTATTAATTTTTCTTAATCATTTCATTAAAATTATTGTATTTTTTAAAAAAATTTATTTAATATATTAATAATATTATTTAATATGTTAATGATATAATACATCATCCATTTTACGTTTCTTTTTATAATTTTATTTATTAAAAATTTATAATTTTTTTTAAATTGTTTAAGTTAATTCTCCACAAGCTGTTACAATAACTTTTTGAATAGGGATGCCTGATTTTGTTCCACATTTTTCTATTTTTTTTAAAACATCCAAACCACTAAGAACATGACCAAATACTACATGTTTTCCATCTAACCAATCTGTACGTGCTGTACATATAAAAAATTGTGATCCATTTGTATTTGGACCAGAATTTGCCATTGACAATGTACCAGGTCCTGTATGTTTCAATTCAAAATTTTCATCATCAAATTTATTCCATAAATTGATTTTCCTCCTGTGCCATTATGATTTGTAAAATCTCCTCCTTGGCACATCTATATTTTTATAAGGAACTTATTTATCTGTTGATATAATACAAAAAGTACATAAAATAATTATAATTTTATAAGTTTCTTAAAAAAAAGGATACAAATTCTGGGATAATTCTATGAAAAGTACTTCCTTGATAACCATATCCTTTTTCATGAGTACAAAGAGCACGAAAATTTTCAGCAGTTTTTGGTACAATATCAGCTCTTAACATCATAATAATCCTACCTAATTCTTGTTTTCCAATACTAATATCAAAATATACTTGAGGATTTTGTTTTCCTTTTTTAGGTTGTACTATATCATTTGATTTTGCGTTATCATCATTTTTAAGTGTTTCACCTGCATGTTCTTGTAACCATACATCATCAGCCCAAACAGGTTTCGATGAACCTTCCTTTATTTTCTGTGGTTTTGCAATATTTACTCTGATTGTTCGTCCAAACAACTCAGAATCATTCTGTTTATTCAAGATAAAGTTTAATAAATTTAAAAATGGATAAAATTGTGTGAAAATAATTAATATTTAAATATTTAGATAAATAAAATTAACTTTTAATTTATATTCGTATATATTTTATAATAACAATTGTTTTATTTTAAAAAAATAGAAAATTATAGAATACATTTTTTTTATAATTATTATTGCAAAGGCATTTTATATTTTATAAAAATTTTATAAAAATAAAATATTATATATGAAATATGAATAATATATTTAAATAAAAAGAATGAATGACAATTTATTATTATAAAACTATATTAAATAACTCACACAGATAATGTTGTTTTATATATGTACCATATTATCAATTGCTGCTGCTGCATCTTCTGCACTTTCAAATTCAATAAAAGCAAATCCTCTATGTTTTTCTGATTCATAATCTAATGGTATTTGTACATCAACAATTTCTCCAAAAGGTATAAATGCTGCATGTAATACTTTTTCATCAACTTCTTCAGCTAAACCTCCTAAATAACAATAATAAAAAAATATTGCATTAAAATTAGGTTATATCTTATTTAAAATTAAAATTAATAATAATAGTTTTTTACTTACCTACGTAAATTGTTCTCTTTGTATTTGTACTCATAATGTATAAAATGCTTATATATTTTTTGCTTTGCTGAATGTGATTATTGTAATAAACAATTAAATCTGATAACAATTTTATTGACTGAAGGACGTCGACGCGCCGGGTACACATACTATTACATGTTAAAGAATAAACTGAATATATAAGCAAGTACTTATGTATATATACTACATATATAGCTTTAATCGGAATAAAGTAGTGGTAAGTTATATAAGTAAATCAGTAGCGACAAAATTGATAGCATGAATTGGTATCATTATTTAAAAGTTTAGTTATTTGTAAAAGAACGTTATATCAAAAATAATAAATATATAAATTGTCTTTTTATTATATCCATTTTATTTAAAGGTAACTATTTTGTCAGTATTCATGTACTACAACATTTTAATATATAAATTATAAATCATTAATTACTTTTATAATATAATGTTATATTTAGTTAAAAAATATATATTGTATCAATAATGTCATATCTTAATTAATAAGATAATATATAATGTTATTATATAATGTTTTTTTATTAATGCATAATATATATTTTTTTTATTATTTTTAAACTTTTAAAAATAATTTGATTACAGATTACCATTCCAATTTTTAAGTATGCATATATTACAAAGAAATATTTTACATTATATTCCTTCATTAAATCGATCAATGCATCTTTTAAAAGATTTAGCATATATAAATGGAAAATGGGTATCAGCAGTAAAACAACAAACATTTCCTGTTTATAATCCAATTGATAAATCTATTATTAGAAATGTTCCTGATATGGATGTTGAAGATACAAAACTAGCAATTAATTCAGCATTTGAAGCTTTTAAATCATTTAAGAAAACAACAGCAAAGGAACGAAGTAATTTACTTAGAAATTGGTACAATCTAATTGTGGAACATTCAGAAGATTTAGCAAAAATTTTAACCAAAGAAAATGGAAAGTCTATTGCTGAATCTAAAGATGAAATCAGATATGGAAATTCATATATTGAATGGTTTTCAGAAGAAGCTAGAAGAATTGAAGGAGAAATATTGCAAGCACCAATATCTAATAGAAATCTTTTATTATGGAAAGAACCAATTGGCGTTGCTGCTTTAATTACACCATGGAATTTTCCATTTGCTATGATTACACGTAAAGCAGCTGCTGCTCTTGCTGTTGGATGTACCTGTATAATTAAACCATCAGAAGATACACCTCTTATTGCTTTAGCATTAGTTGATCTTGCAGAAAAAGCAGGTTTTCCTCAAGGAACAATAAATGTAATTACAACAAGTCAAAAAAATTCTCCTATTGTTGGTAAAGAATTATGTGAAAATTTTAATACAAGAGTTTTATCATTTACTGGTTCAACAAATGTTGGAAAAATTTTATATCAACAATGTGCTTCAAATGTAAAGCGGCTTTGCCTTGAATTAGGAGGTAATGCATCATTTATTGTTTTTGATTCTGCAGACATAGATTTAGCTATAAAAGGTGCTATGGCAAGTAAATTTCGTAATTGTGGTCAGACATGTGTATCTGCAAATAGATTTTTTGTACAGAATAGCAAATTTGATCAATTTGTAGAAATGTTACTATCAAAAATTAAAACTGAAATTAGAATGGGTGATGGTAGTAAGAAAGACATTACACATGGTCCTCTAACTAAAAAAAGTCAATTAGATTTAGTACATGCATTAGTTACTGATGCTGTAAAAAAAGGAGCAAAATTACATTGCGGTGGTACACCATTGCCTGAATTAGGGCCATTATTTTATGCTCCTACACTTATAACAGGAGTTACTAAAGAAATGGAAATATATAATCGAGAAATTTTTGGTCCAGTAGCTGTTATATATAAATTTGACACTGAAGATGAAGTTATACAAAAATCTAATAATGTATCTGTTGGTTTAGCTGGATATTTTTACTCTCAAGATTTATCACAAATATTTAGGGTAGCAAAAAAATTAGAAGTTGGAATGATTGGTGTAAATGAAGGATTAATTTCTACTGCAGAAGCTGCTTTTGGAGGTGTAAAAGAATCAGGTTTAGGAAGAGAAGGTTCTAAGCATGGTATTGAAGATTTTCTTGAGATAAAATATGTATGTATTGGAAATCTTAAGAATTAATGCAGATATACAATTTTATATATATTATACAATATATATTTCATAGAACAATTTGTTTAATTTATTTAGTATAATAATATTTTAAAGAATATTACATACTAAATATTAGTTCAATTTATTTTTATGAATATTAAAATAGATAAAAATTTTGAACATCTTTTATGTTATATGATAATTTAGAATAATTAAACATAGTAATTTTTTTATAAAATTGAATGTCTTCCAATAGTTTGTAAGTTATAATATTATATTATATACAAATATTGTATATAATATATTATAAGTAATGATATGTAATATATAGTATATTTTTATTATTATGTGATATATAGTATATTTTTCTACATATTTTTTGTAATTTCTTTTTAATTTATTAGTTTTTCATATATTAAGTATTCATATATCAAGATTTAAGAAAAAATTAATTAAAAAAAAAAAAAGTTTTTTTAAATTTATAAAATGATATATTGATATATATGATGATATATATTTTCATTCTGATATATAATTAATAAGTTTTATTTTTCTTATATAAGAATTTATATAAAAATTGTTTTTTATATTATTAATAATTTGAAATGAATAAAATGAAATATATTATTAATTGAAAATATTGTCTTCCAAAATTTAGATTTTATAATACATACAAAGGATAGGAAATTGTAAAGATATACAAGTATATTTTTGAAATAAAATTATATTCACAGTATGTAATAGTAAATATACATACGGCAAAATGTTAGATATTTATAATTAAGATATAATAACCAGAATAAAATGTAATGAGAATGTCAGCAATTTTGAAGTCCATGTTTTTGAATATACCTTTCCCTAGCTTCTCTTATCATTTTAGCTTTTCTTTCCTGAAAGGAAGAAGATCCTAAATTACTGTTATCTTTAACTGTGCTTTTTTGTAATTGATTTAATGGTGCTGATCGCGAAATAGTTTGAGATGAATCTGGAGTATAAGTAACTATGCCATCCAATATATTGGCAATTGTAATATCAACATTGCGTGTTTTCACTAAAATAAATATTAATAAATTAGAATGTTGAAGATTAAATGTTATTAATACAATATATGAATTAATAATTATTTACATACAAAGATCTCTTAAAATCACATTATGAGGGACTAATGGAAGCACTTCACTGACTTGTCGAACCATTCTCTGTATTTCAATACTATGTATAACTTGTGAATTTGGAGAATTTCTATCAAATCTTCTATTTTGTGTTCTTTCCAGAATATAGCGCTTTTCAAATTCTATTTTATCTGATACAGTATGAGAACATGTTTGAAGTCCAAGACTAGTAGCTATATCTTTCTCTACTTCTCGTACTAGTACTTCACAATCTGGATTTTGCTTGATTTTCAGGTACTTAAATGTGAAGACTGTATAAGGAACAAACATAAACCAAAATACATCTATCCACCATCTAGATGTTAATGAGGTAAGATGGATAGATGTAAATTCTGGTCTCCATGCTTTAATTGCAACTGGTTGAACAGATGCTTTTATGGTAAATGGCCAAGAATTAAATTTTAACAAAGCTACACGACTATTGGTTATACCAAATTCAGGTTGAATTGCAATGCTGCAATTTGATGTAGAAAGAAATTGTTTCATATTGGCAATTAGAACTTCTTTGCTACTCATATCCATCACTTGTAAACCTAGTGCATTGTTCATGGCAGTAGGTATCTCCCACATAGTAGGAGTTAATGCTTGTGTAGCTTTATACAAAGCAAAATGATCCAAGACAGAAACATTATTACTAATTATAATTCTTGATTGTTTATCTTTTACGTCACCTTCAGGAATCTTCACCAAGATACCAAAAGCAAAACTAAATCCATGACTTAAGAATGTTCGAAGAGTATTACAATCAGGTAATAATATTGCAACAAGCCAAAGTTGTAAAGCAATTAACAACCGTAGTAATACAAGTAAAATACCCACTGGAGTATATAAAAATATAAATACAAGCCGCCAACCACTGGGAAATCTAAATAATACATTTAATTTTAATGTCATAATAATATTTAAATAATAAAATAAATATATAATTATTAATATATTAATAATTAATTATATTTGAAAAAAAACATAATATTTGTAAGTACGTATAAAAAAATATTTCAATTAATAATAATTATTTGCATTATGTAATAATTATTATATGCATTATTTTATTAATGCATTAATTTATAATAAGTATAATTTATAAATGTCAATATTAAATATCTTTTTATATCTATGTTATTATGAAATAATATATAATTATATTCTTATGCAATATAATGTTATGTATAAATTAATTTCTCATATAGTTTATAAGATAACATTATATTTTTTATTAATTATGATATTAATTAAGATATTACATGGAAATTATATTTTTCAATTTTAAGATATTAAGTTTAAATAATATTTAAAATATTTTTATAGAGGAACCATATGTTAATTACAAAAAATAAATTATTCAAAATTTTTTAAATTTACTTCGATATCATTATTAAAAATTAAATTATATTTATTGTTAAAAAAAGTTATGAAATGTTATAATTATTTATAAAACAATATTTAAATTTATTGTTTACAAATGATTTAAATTTTTACCTGCTTTTATCAAATAAATCCTGAATATCAATTTGTGACATTTCTTACAATAAACATCTGTTAAGTTGAAAAATTCACGCTTGACAATTGTATTTCACTGAAATAATTATAATCGTTTATTGAAACTTGACAATGACACGACTGATATTTGACCTTTTTTAACCTACTTTTCAGTCGCTTTTCAATTAATATGAATTTTCGTTTTCATCAGTTTCTGTAATCAGCTGTTTTGACATAATGTTCTAGGGATTTTTATTTTAAATTAAAGTACAATTTTCAATTACGAAAATCATATATAACGTGTTTATTTTTATATGATATTTATTATATATTTTATAATGTGACTAGTTATAAATATCTAAAATTAATTTTGATTGTTTAAATATGAAATAAAAAAAATATTTAGTATAGATACATACTACTTAAAAATAATTAATATTTAATAATAGTTAAGATAGCTTGATTATCAAAATTTGATTAAAATTGCATCTTTTTAAATATTTAATATTTTTAAAAGAAATATATATTTTTATTTTATATTCTATTTTTATATTACTTTTTGTAATATATTTGCATTAACAAAAAATATTTCAACTTGAACACTAAATATATTAGATATATGTAATATTTTTTTTATTATTTTATATTAAATAATAAATAGGAATTAAATTATATATGCAATAATGAGATAATATTATATATTAATAAATTCATGAATAAAATAAATAAATTACTAATATTAATTTAACAATGGGAAGTAATACAATCACGTGATTCGTTAGTCATAATAGTAAAGATCAGTGATCGTGTACGGGATAAATTTTCTTCATAATTTGTAAAATTATTAAAAGTAATTAAAATTATTAAAAAAATATTTTTATTCTAAAACTAAAACATCAATTGAAAATATTGATTATTTTTATTGCATAAATAAGTAAGAACAAAAATATAAATTTTGTATTCCATGAACATATATTATTGAACGTAGATACACATAATTGTTAATTTTAGGCAGTGTATATAAATTATCCATACAACGTCACAGTATTAATTATAAATATTTATCAATTGAATTACATCATTTTATAATCATGCATGTTATTATTATTGTATAAAAATTAGATCTGATCTTTAATTCTTTGTGAGACAACCAAAAAAGTTATGTAAAAATTGAAAATATTTTTTTCATTATAATCAATTTATTTGATGAAAATATATGAGTGGAATTTATTTGTTTGTTAATATTATGACAGGATAGAATTAATAAGATAATTAATATCTATCCATAAAAATTCCTATGTTATAAAAGCTATACGAAAATAATGAGATTTTGTACATGGGTGTTGTTTCGTAACATCGTTATCTTTACGAATATTGATGATGTATATATACAATATTATTAAAAATTAATGAGAAAATATGTATAAATTCAAATCCATAAATATACATAAGAAATTGAATACTTGTTGGTTTCTTATTAAAGAAGTATTTAATATATTGATAAGGTTAGAAAACAGATATCAATCATGAAGAATCCTATATCTAACCATTTAAGTGGAAATAATCATTCTATTTCACAAAATGTATCTCCATGTATTGTATCTCGTTATGGAAATATGTCTAACAATTATCAAATATTAAAAGTTGCTGGACGAGATTCTAATTGCTACATTGCAAATAATATTATTCCAAAAATTGGTAAACAACAATTAGTGTCATTGAATGGAAGTTCTATATCCTGTAACAGTGTGAATATCAATGAAGCTTTGGCATGTGATGTAGCTTCAATACCTGCTGTAAAAACTAAAGCATTATGTGTCCATATTCGAGAAAATAAATGGTATGATGCTGGCAATGTAGTATCTGTAGGTGTTGCTGGAACTAGTTTAAATCATGCATTGGAAAGTATGTCTTTAGCTTATAATCCCACTACAAAGCAAATATATTCTTTGGAAGAATCTAATGAATCACAATCGGATTATAAATCTCAATATTTAGATTCCTCTTGTGATTATAAAGAAGATTCTTTAAATGATAACTTTAAAGTTGATGAAGATAAATATATAAGATTGGAAAGTGGTAGTGCAAACAGTAGTCCAAGAAATAGTTTACCACGTTCTTGTAGCAGTACAGTGTCTTCCCTTAGTGAAGTTTCTCCTTCTGGAAGTTTTTTGGGTTCTGATGATCAACAAGTTATAGAAAGGACTGAGAAATCTAAGCGTTGGGGATTAAATACTCTTTTTTCAAAAAATGTATTTTCATGGAAAAATAAAGATTCTCAACAATCTACACCTACTAGTAGCCCATCAAGAAACATAGATAAAGTAGGCGGAAGTTTAGCTTTAATTCAACAACCAAGACCTGCTAATCTACCAGCTAAAAATGCAATTGAAGAGGAACGTCATCGCAAACAATATAGTGCTATTCTAGAAGCAGCAAGAAAACGCGAGTTACGAGAAGAAAAAGAACGTAAGCATCAAAGAGAATTACAACTTAAGGAAGAAGAAAGATTAGCAGAAGATTCCCATACTTGGAATGTACATATTCTTTCTAAATTTGAAAATGTTAAAAATACAAAAAAAGTACGTGAATTGTGGTGGCGTGGTCTTCCACCTAGTGTCCGTGGTAAAGTGTGGAAATTAGCAATTCCAAATAATTTAAATATAACAACACATCTTTATAATATATGTTTGGAAAGAGCAATATCAAGTCCTATAAGTGAAACATTAGCTGCAATTAAATTAGATGTATCTCGTACTTTTCCTACTTTATGTGTTTTTCAAGAAGGTGGACCACTATCTAATAGTCTTCAAGGTATTTTAGCAGCTTATGCTGTTTATAGACCTGATGTAGGTTATGTACAAGGTATGAGTTTTGTGGGAGCAGTATTATCATTAAATATGGAAGCTCCAGATGCCTTTACATGCTTTGCTAATTTATTAAATCATCCTTGTCATAGAGCTGCTTTTACATTAAACCAGAAACAAATGGATATTTACTATAAAGTATATTCTAGTGCACTTGCACATAAATTACCAAAAATTTTTTCTCATTTTACAGTAGCTGGTCTTAGTCCAGATTTATATTTATTAGATTGGTTATATACTATATATGCTAAGGCAATGCCTCTAGATGTGGCATGTAGGATCTGGGATGTGTTTCTTAGAGATGGAGATGAGTTCCTTTTTAGAACAGCTCTTGGTGTATTACATCTATATCAAGAAGAATTATTAAAAATGGACTTTGTGCATGGAGCACAATTTCTTACAAGGTTGCCAGAAACTTTACAGGCAGAAGCTTTATTCAACAGTATTAGTCAAATGTCTACAACTGTTGGAACAATAACGTTCCAACAAATGTTAGTTCAATTTTCTTCATTGTAATTTTGTGAATTATGATGAAGAATATAGAAAAATAATCATATGCAAAAAAATAAAAAAGAAAGAACGAATCTCAAGTACTATTTTTATTATTGTCATTTATAAAAGATATTTTCACATACAATGAAAAAAATTTAAATATTATTTATATAAATTTTAAAGATTAAAGATTTATATAAATTCATAACAATTTTACAACTTTATTCTGCCTTTTTAAATAAATATTTTGTTTTTCTAAATGAATATTAAAAATCTGCCTAAAAAAAACTCAATAAATAATTGAAATTTTTGAGATAATTTGATTTTTTAATCTATATATAGAAAAGAATATTGTATTAAAAAAAAATTAATTTATATTAAATTTTACTATATAAATTACATAATGCTACTAATTTGATGAAACCAAAAATGTACTGTTCCGTACATTTAAAACACAAAAAAAAGCAAGAGCTTCCCTTAAAATTATGGACATATTTTAATAAGTTATGTAACAATAAGGTATATATTCTGCTATATTCTATCTTGAATGAGAAAGAAGAAATAAAAGAAAGATATAATTGGATAAAATTTGATAAATATATATATATAATTTTTAAATATAATATATATATATTATTATATTTTATATTAAAAATTAAGATATGTAATTTCTGAAATACTTTTTATAAAAGTTAATAAAGAATAAAATTATTAATATCTATATTACTAAATTTAACTTATTTTTTTTTATTTATGAAATTTTTATTTCATTCAGAAATTAAATTTAAATATTTTTGATTTTTTTTTTAATAATTGCAATTTAAAAATATTTTCACAATTTCATTATTGAATATATTTTACAAATAATAATACATTTATGAAAATATGTTATAATATATAGATATTGTAATATATCTTAACATATTTTGAGATATCTTTTTACTATCTTAACTGTAATGTATATCTCAAAAAAAATACTCAGAATAAAAATGCTCTATATGCTTAAATATATTTACCAGTCAAATTCTTATATTATTATAAACAAGTAAAATTTTATTTGAAAATATCCAAATATTTATTAGATTAATAATAAATATATTTAAAAAATGTGACATAAATATAAAATAATAAAATAATAAATATAAAATAAATATAAAATCATGTGCCACATTGTAGTATATATATTCAAAAAAAATACAATTTTAACTTTAATTTTTAATTTAAAAAATGACTAGTGCAAATAGAATTATTAAAAAAAAATAATTAAAATATTTTTTGAGAAATATATGATTTCATTTATAATTATATTAATAAATTTCCAAAAAATTTTTAACAATATTTATGTATTATCAATATAAAACATTTGTTTATCATATGTAAAATCATTTCAATTCAATTAATAATAATAATAATTAATAATTAATAATTAATAATTAATAATTAATAATAAACTTTATTATTAAATGATTATGATTTTAAAGAAATTTAATTTTTTCGTGATGTAAATTATGTGATGAATTCAGAAATCTCTGAAAGTAAATAATATAAAATCTCTGAAATATCTAATTTATTAATTTACTAAATAATATAAAATTTTATTAAAGCTTTGTTATTTATTTATAAATATTATTTCAAAAATTAATTGTAAAGTTAAATAATATCTATTTATTATCATCTTATTTGCAATATTTTCTTTTATTATTTGTTATTATAACAAATTATATTTTATCTATTTATATATGTATAAAAATTAATAATATAAGTAATATTTTAAAGATTATTTTATTATATGCACAAAAAAACGGAATGTTTAAAAATTACAATATTAATATCAATTATCATCAAATGATATGAATAAATTTTTTTGCCATTAATTGACATATAATATTTTATTTGTTAAGCTCTTATATAAAAATATAATAAAATATAAAATAAAATCTTTTCTATTTGAATGATCTTTAGCCATAAAAGGAATATATTCTAATTCAAGAAATTATAATTTTTCTAATTATTAAGTTTTATTATAAACATATTTTTTTATAATTTAGCTATTGTAAGCTTATTGTATGTGCTTGTTGTATAATATTTACTTCATTAAATATTCAAAAAATAATTTTCATAATTTTGTTAAATAAATAATATTAACAAAATAATTTTGTTATAAACTTTATAAACTAATAATAATTTGAAAACAATATTATATAGAATATTATACAGTTAATGTCAGTGTTGAATACTATATATAAAAATATTTCCAAGTACAAGCACATTGCAATAACTTTGCTTATAGCATGGCTTAATGCTTTAATAAATTTTAAACATTTTATGCTCTAATTATCTTAATATATACATAAATTTAAATAATTATATATATAAAATATATAATAGTTAATAACAATGTAAAATATAAAATTATATTTGAATTTGATATTCTTTTTTTTTTTTTTTTTTAAGAAAATTTTAATGAACAATATAAAGAATAGTGGAGAATTAAATGTACGAGCTCGGAATCTCTTAAAAATTCGTGATAATCTAATTTTTAATTGACAATATTCTTATTCCATCCACTATTCGAATATAAAGAATAGTGGAGAATTAAATATATGAACTCGGAATCTCTTGAAAATTCATGATAATCTAATTTTTAATTGACAATACTCTTATTCCATCCACTATTCGAATTAATTGATTACTCAACGATTTAGCCTTTTTCCTAATAGATATTTACATTAATAAATACAATTATATATAAATAAATTATTAAGCTTCAAAAATAATAATGTAATATGAAATTATAAATGAACATATTTATATTTGCTTTTTGTCTCTATGTATAAGAATATGTTCACATATTTACGTTCATATAATTGATAAATTCTATTATTGAAATATAATGTTATTAAAATATATAGGACATACAGTAAGAAATGTTTAATTTTAATTATTTTTTGCTAGAAATTATGGTTTAATATTGATTTTACTTAAATTTTATTTTTTCTTCGATATTAATGCCATATATTAATATTTTAAAATTTTAAATTAATAATAAATTTATAATATATGTCAAATATATGTAGAATATATTCGTATTAATCTATTTGTAATTTTTCACATTCTTCTCTTATATTTTCTTTTTTTCTTATTCATAAATTAATATATAATACAACATATAAGTGCGTGTTTCTATTTCTATAAAAACATTTAATTATGTGCCAACCATTTAGTGGTTGTATTAATAAAGAACAAAAGAATATGTACATGTTGTATTATAATCTATACTTTTTTTTTTTAATTCTATGATCATAATTATCAAGCTATAGAATCTTTTTTTAGAATCTTATTTTTTTATATCTTCTTAATCATATGTTCTATAATTATAGAATAAAATAATTAAATTAACTTAAAGAAATTGAATGTATGTGTATTGTAAGTAAATGTGTTGTAAGCTTGTATGAATTATATTGAGATAATGTAAGAGAATCTACAAATGTTATGTAAATATCATAACTTTGTTATGTAATATCATAAACTTTTATGAAGAATCATAAAATCTTTAATGTGTCACATATTATATTTATCTTAATAACATCAAAAGTGAAATTATTAAATATCATTTTAAGTGTGTGCAATTTTAGTGTAATTTATCAGTATTAAAAATAATTCAACGAAATAAATGATTCGATGTCTTATCGAATATTTAAAAAAATTATGTATCTGATATAATTAAATTTTGTTAGTAGATAAATGTTGAAATATATTAAAAATTGACATATAATTATTATATTTATACGAAAGAGAATATCCTTATACTTACACATATCTTATGCTCTCAATTTCATTATTTAACAAAAATTAATATTAAAATGCCTAACAAGTGATAAATGATAAAGAAAAATTTTCTGAATGCAAAATTTGATACCTATACGAGAATGAACGAATAATTATGTATGATCTATATGCGACAATTCTGTGTTCCTTGTCATTAGTGCCTCTCAATAGAGGAACTCATTGTATATTTTTTACGCGTTTTATCGTGTACCTTTACCTTAAGTGCGATATCCTAATATATATTTTGTAAAAAATCGAACTCAGTATTTATTTTGTGAATTGTGAACATCAATAATGATATAAAATTATAATTATAATTAGTGGTATCAACATATTAAGGAACTGTCATGAAATTTTTACTCAAAAGTGCGCATAGTGAAACTTTTGTGGGAATTTAATTTTCCCGAAAATGAACAAATTACATATTTTAAAATTTTTCTTGAATTTTCATACTCATATCTCTTCGAATATATCTAGTATTAATACTATGAAAAATATTTTGTATATAAGAGCGTGCTTGCTTCGAAACTTAAAAAATGAGAGATAAAACTTAATTCTATTTATTGCAATGATGTAATAACAGTTTTTATAATGGACAACATGTGAAATTATATAAATGTGCGTGTATGTTATTATACTCTAAATGATGCCAGCAACATATGGATCATTTTTGTTTGCATACGAATAAAATTACATTTTAAAATATAATATTTATATTTATTATTTCTCTATTTTTTTTTTATCATAATATGTATATTATTTATGATTATAAATTTTTTGATGAATAGAGATTTTGCTATCTTTGTAGATATTATTTTAGTGAATTGATAATATTTTACGTAATATAAAATTATAAGGAAATTATAATTCTGATGAATAAAACATTTTAAAAAAAACTTTATTCAATATCTTATCAATAATATTTTGTTATATAAATTTTTTATATAATTTTTTATTAAAGGAATATAATTTAGAGTTCTATATTTTCTATCATATTTTTAATCTCATTTAATTTTAATGCTAATAATTTTTTCCGTTTGATAATATTGAAAATATATTAAATATAGTGAGAAAATTTTAAAATTTCAAAAGTATACAATAGAAATTTCTCTTAAATAATAACTAATTCGAACTTTTTTTTACATATATCGTAATTAATAGGCTTATAATTTTTTAAAATATTATAAATCTTAGTCAAATATTTATTCTGTTGTACGTATTATCAGTTTTAATAATTTGTACCGCCAAATTGAAAAGAATGCGAAACGAAAAGTTTTAGAAACTAACTTTAATTTTTAATTTAAAAAATGACTAGTGCAAATAGAATTATTAAAAAAAAATAATTAAAATATTTTTTGAGAAATATATGATTTCATTTATAATTATATTAATAAATTTCCAAAAAATTTTTAACAATATTTATGTATTATCAATATAAAACATTTGTTTATCATATGTAAAATCATTTCAATTCAATTAATAATAATAATAATTAATAATTAATAATTAATAATTAATAATTAATAATAAACTTTATTATTAAATGATTATGATTTTAAAGAAATTTAATTTTTTCGTGATGTAAATTATGTGATGAATTCAGAAATCTCTGAAAGTAAATAATATAAAATCTCTGAAATATCTAATTTATTAATTTACTAAATAATATAAAATTTTATTAAAGCTTTGTTATTTATTTATAAATATTATTTCAAAAATTAATTGTAAAGTTAAATAATATCTATTTATTATCATCTTATTTGCAATATTTTCTTTTATTATTTGTTATTATAACAAATTATATTTTATCTATTTATATATGTATAAAAATTAATAATATAAGTAATATTTTAAAGATTATTTTATTATATGCACAAAAAACGGAATGTTTAAAAATTACAATATTAATATCAATTATCATCAAATGATATGAATAAATTTTTTTGCCATTAATTGACATATAATATTTTATTTGTTAAGCTCTTATATAAAAATATAATAAAATATAAAATAAAATCTTTTCTATTTGAATGATCTTTAGCCATAAAAGGAATATATTCTAATTCAAGAAATTATAATTTTTCTAATTATTAAGTTTTATTATAAACATATTTTTTTATAATTTAGCTATTGTAAGCTTATTGTATGTGCTTGTTGTATAATATTTACTTCATTAAATATTCAAAAAATAATTTTCATAATTTTGTTAAATAAATAATATTAACAAAATAATTTTGTTATAAACTTTATAAACTAATAATAATTTGAAAACAATATTATATAGAATATTATACAGTTAATGTCAGTGTTGAATACTATATATAAAAATATTTCCAAGTACAAGCACATTGCAATAACTTTGCTTATAGCATGGCTTAATGCTTTAATAAATTTTAAACATTTTATGCTCTAATTATCTTAATATATACATAAATTTAAATAATTATATATATAAAATATATAATAGTTAATAACAATGTAAAATATAAAATTATATTTGAATTTGATATTCTTTTTTTTTTTTTTTTTTTTAAGAAAATTTTAATGAACAATATAAAGAATAGTGGAGAATTAAATGTACGAGCTCGGAATCTCTTAAAAATTCGTGATAATCTAATTTTTAATTGACAATATTCTTATTCCATCCACTATTCGAATATAAAGAATAGTGGAGAATTAAATATATGAACTCGGAATCTCTTGAAAATTCATGATAATCTAATTTTTAATTGACAATACTCTTATTCCATCCACTATTCGAATTAATTGATTACTCAACGATTTAGCCTTTTTCCTAATAGATATTTACATTAATAAATACAATTATATATAAATAAATTATTAAGCTTCAAAAATAATAATGTAATATGAAATTATAAATGAACATATTTATATTTGCTTTTTGTCTCTATGTATAAGAATATGTTCACATATTTACGTTCATATAATTGATAAATTCTATTATTGAAATATAATGTTATTAAAATATATAGGACATACAGTAAGAAATGTTTAATTTTAATTATTTTTTGCTAGAAATTATGGTTTAATATTGATTTTACTTAAATTTTATTTTTTCTTCGATATTAATGCCATATATTAATATTTTAAAATTTTAAATTAATAATAAATTTATAATATATGTCAAATATATGTAGAATATATTCGTATTAATCTATTTGTAATTTTTCACATTCTTCTCTTATATTTTCTTTTTTTCTTATTCATAAATTAATATATAATACAACATATAAGTGCGTGTTTCTATTTCTATAAAAACATTTAATTATGTGCCAACCATTTAGTGGTTGTATTAATAAAGAACAAAAGAATATGTACATGTTGTATTATAATCTATACTTTTTTTTTTTAATTTCTATGATCATAATTATCAAGCTATAGAATCTTTTTTTAGAATCTTATTTTTTTATATCTTCTTAATCATATGTTCTATAATTATAGAATAAAATAATTAAATTAACTTAAAGAAATTGAATGTATGTGTATTGTAAGTAAATGTGTTGTAAGCTTGTATGAATTATATTGAGATAATGTAAGAGAATCTACAAATGTTATGTAAATATCATAACTTTGTTATGTAATATCATAAACTTTTATGAAGAATCATAAAATCTTTAATGTGTCACATATTATATTTATCTTAATAACATCAAAAGTGAAATTATTAAATATCATTTTAAGTGTGTGCAATTTTAGTGTAATTTATCAGTATTAAAAATAATTCAACGAAATAAATGATTCGATGTCTTATCGAATATTTAAAAAAATTATGTATCTGATATAATTAAATTTTGTTAGTAGATAAATGTTGAAATATATTAAAAATTGACATATAATTATTATATTTATACGAAAGAGAATATCCTTATACTTACACATATCTTATGCTCTCAATTTCATTATTTAACAAAAATTAATATTAAAATGCCTAACAAGTGATAAATGATAAAGAAAAATTTTCTGAATGCAAAATTTGATACCTATACGAGAATGAACGAATAATTATGTATGATCTATATGCGACAATTCTGTGTTCCTTGTCATTAGTGCCTCTCAATAGAGGAACTCATTGTATATTTTTTACGCGTTTTATCGTGTACCTTTACCTTAAGTGCGATATCCTAATATATATTTTGTAAAAAATCGAACTCAGTATTTATTTTGTGAATTGTGAACATCAATAATGATATAAAATTATAATTATAATTAGTGGTATCAACATATTAAGGAACTGTCATGAAATTTTTACTCAAAAGTGCGCATAGTGAAACTTTTGTGGGAATTTAATTTTCCCGAAAATGAACAAATTACATATTTTAAAATTTTTCTTGAATTTTCATACTCATATCTCTTCGAATATATCTAGTATTAATACTATGAAAAATATTTTGTATATAAGAGCGTGCTTGCTTCGAAACTTAAAAAATGAGAGATAAAACTTAATTCTATTTATTGCAATGATGTAATAACAGTTTTTATAATGGACAACATGTGAAATTATATAAATGTGCGTGTATGTTATTATACTCTAAATGATGCCAGCAACATATGGATCATTTTTGTTTGCATACGAATAAAATTACATTTTAAAATATAATATTTATATTTATTATTTCTCTATTTTTTTTTTATCATAATATGTATATTATTTATGATTATAAATTTTTTGATGAATAGAGATTTTGCTATCTTTGTAGATATTATTTTAGTGAATTGATAATATTTTACGTAATATAAAATTATAAGGAAATTATAATTCTGATGAATAAAACATTTTAAAAAAAACTTTATTCAATATCTTATCAATAATATTTTGTTATATAAATTTTTTATATAAATTTTTTATTAAAGGAATATAATTTAGAGTTCTATATTTTCTATCATATTTTTAATCTCATTTAATTTTAATGCTAATAATTTTTTCCGTTTGATAATATTGAAAATATATTAAATATAGTGAGAAAATTTTAAAATTTCAAAAGTATACAATAGAAATTTCTCTTAAATAATAACTAATTCGAACTTTTTTTTACATATATCGTAATTAATAGGCTTATAATTTTTTAAAATATTATAAATCTTAGTCAAATATTTATTCTGTTGTACGTATTATCAGTTTTAATAATTTGTACCGCCAAATTGAAAAGAATGCGAAACGAAAAGTTTTAGAAACTATCCAATAGATGGCAGTAGGTGCTGTACGGTCGCACGAATCAGTCGTTATTGTGCACGGGTATATTCTCGTAGTGTTCAGTTTTTAATTTTAATTGTGTTTTTGTTAATAAATGATAGTTAATTCTAAAAGAATGGTCATTTGCTTCTTTTTTATGTAAGTGTACGAATTTTATATAAATACTAATTTTCTGATTGATATTCATAATATATTTGCATTTAAACATTGATATTATATGTTTATGTATCATTTCAATTTCATCATTCAAAAATATTTTATTCAATATCTATTACCAAAAATATTTTGTTATATAAATTTTTTATTAAAGGAATATAATTTAGAATTCTATATTTTCTATCATATTTTCAATTTCATTTAATTTTAATGCTAATAATTTTTTCCGTTTGATAATATTGAAAATATATTAAATATAGTGAAGTAAAATTTTAAAATTTACAAAAAGTATACAATAGAAATTTGTCTTAAATAATAACTAACTCGTAACTTTTTTTTACATATATCGTAATTAATAGGCTTATAATTTTTTAAAATATTCTAAATCTTAGTCAAATATTTATCCTGTTGTACGTATTATCAGGTTTAATAATTTGTACCGTCAAATTGAAAAGAATGCGAAACGAAAAGTTTTAGGAATTATCCAATAGATGGCAGTAGGTGCTGTACGGTCGCACGAATCAGTCGTTATTGTGCACGGGTATATTCTCGTAGTGTTCAGTTTTTAATTTTAATTGTGTTTTTGTTAATAAATGATAGTTAATTCTAAAAGAATGGTCATTTGCTTCTTTTTTATGTAAGTGTACGAATTTTATATAAATACTAATTTTCTGATTGATATTCATAGTATATTTGCATTTAAACATTGATATTATATGTTTATGTATCATTTCAATTTCATTATTCAAAAAAATTTTATTCAATATCTATTACCAAACATGTTTTGTTATATAAATTTTTTATTAAAGGAATATAATTTAAAATTCTATATTTTCTATCATATTTTTAATTTCATTTAATTTTAATGCTAATAATTTTTTCGTTTGATAATATTGAAAATATATTAAATATAGTGAGAAAATTTTAAAATTTCAAAAGTATACAATAGAAATTTGTCTGAAATAATAACGAACTCGAACTTTTTTTTACATATATCGTAATTAATAGGCTTATAATTTTTTAAAATATTTTAAATCTTAGTCAAATATTTATCCTGTTGTACGTATCATCAGGTTTAATAATTTGTACCGTCAAATTGAAAAGAATGCGAAACGAAAAGTTTTAGAAATTATCCAATAGATGGCAGTAGGTGCTGTACGGTCGCACGAATCAGTCGTTATTGTGCACGGGTATATTCTCGTAGTGTTCAGTTTTTAATTTTAATTGTGTTTTTGTTAATAAATGATAGTTAATTCTAAAAGAATAGTCATTTGCTTCTTTTTTATATAAGTGTACGAATATTATATAAATACTAATTTTGTGATTGATGTTTATTGTATATATTTGCATTTAAATATTTATGTGTTGCAATGCGTCATTTCAATTTCATTATATCGCGTCTTATGAGTTTAAATTATAACCTATAATTGTAGTAATCGATTAGAGATAAATTTAAGTTATATCAAATTATATCAGTTTCCTTTCTTAAAGTATTAATTTATATAATTTATCTTTGACAGGTTTCATGGAAAATTCATAATAAAGAAAGGATTAAGAAAAGGAGAAGATTCATACTTGTTAATTGTTTGTTATCTACACAATGGATCTGATTTTTCAACCTTGATATCCCTATCTTCGGTATAGGACAGCATTATATGTAAGTTACACACACACACACACATATATATATATTTATATATATTTATACTATTATATACTTATTAAATATATCGTAGGTTATTCATAGCATTCAATTCATAGTATATATATATATATATTTATATATATATATAGTATATAATATATATTCGATGTTATATTATTCATTAATGTAATATGTCATATCGTAAGATATATTTTCAATTATCTCTCGATACAGTAATTTATTTATTATTCTTTCTGTGACAATATATACAAAGTATATATAAAATATCTTGTCTCTAACAATTATAAATATACGGTGTATACATATCATTTGCGCTTTAATCACAAGATGATTTAGCGTAGTATCCCCATATGAGATTTACCCCGAAACAACGTTAACTCCAAGTCATGAAGATTTGAGCCACCCTAGTTAGAAACGAAGTCAATAAATTAGGGGAATTAATCCTATCCAGAATGGTGTATGATTTAACGTAATGCACCTTATTTATTTCCATACATCACAAGTGTGAATGGCACGTTAATTATATGCAAACGTTAAACAGACCTGTGGAATTCCCTTTCTTTATTTGCCTCCTCTTTTTGTCTTAAAGTTCTATCGATAGCGAATGTTTTCGGAATTAATATGCTCGAATTTTATACTAGATCGATCAAATGGTACGTTGTAAAATTTAAGCATCGTGATAGATTTGTTTAATAATTTTTAAATTAATTTCCAAACGATCATTGTATATTTACGGTTATAAAATATATGTATCGTAATGATAATTCAATTAAATCTTATCAAAAATACGTATAAATTTTCACGGAAATTCGATCATTGATCAAGGAGAAAAAAAAAGAAAAAAATAGCGTTTATCTTGTCGCCAGTTTTTATTGAGCCTTGAAAATACATTATTACGTTTATCGATACTCCATATTTTGAATTTCGTGTCTCCACTCTTTTCTTCCATTATCAAAAAGAGAGGCAAGCGTATATAAATTGTTTTCCTAATAAATTATAAACCGACGTCTTATACTTTAAACAAATATCTGGCTGCCTACTTGTCGATATTCGAATCGGTCTCAGGATCGGTAACAGGAATATAGATGGATTGGGTATAAATGTGTTTATTGGCCCTAAGAACGAAGACGAATAGATACGAGTTGAACCGTAGAGGCATAAACCAATCAGTTTAATAGAATCTCCCCTGTTGCCTATCGAATGATTCATAGGACGTCGCATGGGAAGCGAATTTATTAATAAGAGGCAGTCAGCCATGCCACCAGACCGGCTCCGAACTGATTCGTCATTATTACATGGGTTCTGACCCAACCATCTTAACATCCAACGCTAATTGGTCGCCGTGAACGCGTTTCAGCTGTTGATTTATCATGCCAATAAATAGCCGCGTTCCTCTTTCGCTTTTTCTCCTTGTTTCTCTCGCGTGGTCGGATGAACTGTTTGCGGCTATTAAACGAAGATTTAACGAAATGCTGATAAAATGGACGGAATAAACGGAAGAAATTAGTAGGTACAACGATTGCATACGTGTGTATGATTACACGGTTCGCAAACAAAGGGAAGAACGAATTTGTCATGCGTTATATAAATGTTCACACTGTTTTATACGAGTCGAATAGATTAAGATGTTATTTTGCTTTCGTTATTACGGATGATCGTCGCCTTTCGCGCCAATACCAAGTTTGTATACACAGTTATCGAAACTAGAAATTAACTCGTCAAATATTACAAGCGACGCGCGTGTGCCCATTACGAGAGTGAAATTCAGATTTCGATAGATTGAAATTATTCAGCTACGTTTATCGAAATGCATATCCTAGCGATATACGATTTCTTTTAAATCCATACCAATATTATTCGTATAATAATAATAATAATAATAATAATAATAATGTAACGAAAACCACCGTATCGTTCTCGAACACGTAAATCTAAGGAATCGTCGCTCGATATTTTTCGGGATCATTCCCCGCTCACTCGTTCCCCCTTTTCCCCTTACTCTCGAAAGGAACTAATGCAAAAGTTTTCATTCAAGTAAGCATTAATGCATTTATATTTATCCGGCTGGTTACATCACCGCCTTTTTACATAACCGCCGCTGGATATTGGAGATACACGGTATTATTACGGTATTAAACCGGGTTATTTGAAAGTATCGCGGCGAGGAAAAAGTGAGACGGGGAAGAATGGATGGAAGGAGACGGTGGTGGAGGGGGAACGAAGAGACGTTGCAGAGCGCGTTGGATGTGCAACTTCTTGCGCAAGAGGTGCTCTGCAGTGATTCATCATTGTTACCAGGAATATTGGGATATATATCGGGGAAGTCCCTCGGGCTGGAAGCAAATGGAGTAGACAGGGGTCTATACCCTCCATCTACTTAAATGCCCCTACATTCCACCGATGGAGAGGGTACTTACCACACTACGCGTTGTGGCCCCGCTCCCTGCAGTTTTCTGATTAAACTACCTCGATTTCCATGAACGAAAGCACGCGAGACTTCACACGATTGACTTTACGCTCTTCATCGCCTATATTAATCCTTTCCACCCGCAGTTTCCGAAGGAACGAACGAATGGAGGATGCATCGAGGGATCGTATACGTCGGCGTATACGTAATGGAATTTTCGCCGAACACAACGGATTGATTCGTTTTAATCTCTTAATGGATCTCTTAATTCTGTACGATGAGTAACGTTCGGGGAAATTTCGTTTTATTCATTTGTTTTCAAGGATGATTGTCCAATCGAGATGAATTATTATCAATCGGATCGGTAGGGAAATCGCGAAAATTTTAGAACGCGATGTTCTAATTTAACGATCGAGAGGAGAGATTTCTTTTTTTTTCTTGATCCCAAAAAATAATTCGCTTCACTTTTCACTTCGTCTCATCATCTTCAATTAGTAATCTCTACAGACGATACACGATATCCTCGTAGCTAGGCGTGCACGCGTCCCGTCTCCTTTTTTCCTTTTTTTCACCGCGCACGATTCCTTCCGCATTTTTAACGAACCGATTGAACGCAGCTGTAATCTTCTCTCTAAACGGGCCAGCCTCCAATCTGTCATCGTGTGTTATCCACCTCCTCCACCGCGTGCCGAATTTCACAACGTAACGAGAACCGTATAAAAATAACGGAGAACGTGCGCCATATGCGAAATGCGCCATGTGGCAGAGGGTCAACAATGTCACAGAGCGAGCGTCTTCCCCGTGGTTGATTGTCGAAGAATGCCGAAAAAGGGGTGCGTTCGTGCAGCACCTGCCTGCCTCGAGGTAAGACCTCGTCGAGATTCTCTCTCTCTCGAAATCTCGAAAAGAGGGATTATCCTTCTTCTGTTCTCCCTTTCACTGACGTCGTGGTTAGCCAAAGTGTAACAGGACGATCAAACGTTTCTTTCCTGACCGATTCTCTCCTCCCCTCCTTCGAGGGGAAGGAATTTCCCCCCCCCCCCATTTGGGGATTAAAATTGTGTGCGTGCTAACACGAGGCCAAAGCACGAGATTCTTCCGTGTGGAGGAATTTTCATGCAAGCGCGCGTCCGAAAGTTTCCCGCCATCGTGCGATTAACGTGCACGATAAGGAAAGTTTTTTTTCTTCGCGGGAATTAAATAATCTTATTACGAAAAATCTCTGGCGATTTCACTACTCTTGAACTTTGAACGCCCGTTATCGTTCGTCGAGTTTCAACCGCGATAAACTCGTCCAGAGATTTTATTTTCACATTCTGGATGGAGAAACGCGCTATTTTCGTCTGATAACTGAAGAATTGAAATTCCGCGGCCAATCATACGATATTTCTCTTGATCCGTCGATAATTTCACTTCTGCCAAAAATCTATAATCATCGATAGGACATAACATAATAACTTTATTATTAAAGAAAGAAAGAAAGAAAAAAAAAATCTACGAATTTCCATTAAACGTCACGCTATCCACGCTTTCGTGGGACGACGGTCTATTACCGTAACGAGAACCGAAATCCCCGAGTAAAACAGCGAGTATCCCTAAGTGTCCTAAGGCGAGAAAGAACGTCGAGAAGGGATTGTTGAACGAGGGCAAACCTGGCTTGAGGTAAAGTACCCTTCGGCCCCTACTCGAAAAGGGATTATCCAGCCCCGACTCGTATCGGTGGTTTGCCACAGTGTAACGCGACGATCAAAGTTCTCGTTGCGTCTCGTTGTGGGATCCGCCGATCTATAAAGGGATCCACCGCGCGCCGGAGGCATCGCGGAAATCACGAAAATACACAGACATGGTTTCTCGCCGCGTAGCTTGGGGTTCCACCAAGAGGAGGGGTGGTTCACCTTGTTATTGTTAGTTATCGCATTAATGCTCGGGGAGGACGGTGACTAAGGTCTGTGTGTATGTGTTTCTCGGATCTGGCGTGCGCACCCATTAGCAACGTCAAGGGGGAGGAAGGGGTTGTATAGGCATGTCCTGTTCAAACACTTCCTCCCTGTAGGAATTCGATCCATCTGTTCTTCTGGATCTATGCAGGCCAAGTACACGGATTTTCTCGCTCGAGACGACACGATGGGTCAACCGATATTTTCCCTCGATATCTCCTACCACGAAACTTCCGTTCGCGGATCCATTTTCGAGGGAAGATGTGGGATAAATTGGAAGCAGAATGGGGGCAGTGAGTTTGCAGGATTTTTTATTCGGCTCGAATTATGGAAATGGACTTATGCGAAGGATTGTATCGATAAATCGAGTGATTTAATTTCTTTTTACGAGCATTTCTTATGCTCTCCGGTATAACCCCTTCTCCGTCTGTCCGTTTCGAAACATAAATATTCTGTTCGAGAAGGTATCGATCGTCTCGAAATCCATCCCTATCGATAAAAATTTCTCCCGTGCAATCGCGTGCAACTTGGCGAAGTTTCGCCAACTGGGATAGAGCTTCCCGTAATTGGCTTAAGAATTTAGACCAACGCCGATGATGCGTCGGGGGAATCGCAATAACGATATCGAGCGACAACGATAGGGAAGCCGGTCAAGTATGAAGCGTCTGAAAAAGAACTCGAAACGGGGAGAAAGAGAGATAGAGAGAGAATCCAGGGCTCTATAAATCCAGGGACAAAAGCCGGTGGGCTGGCAAATGTCAGGATGTCGTCGACGATGTTTCTCCCCCCGCTGCGAGTGCAAAAAGTATCGACACCGACGCCTCCACTTTTTTCGACCTTTAAAAGTTCACAGCTGTCCACGCCACCTCCGCGACCACGTGGCGGCCTCGATCTCGACCGGAAGTGGAGAGCGCATACCGCAGTGTGTTCAATGTCAAGGACAGCTGTTCCACCACCGCGTCTTCGAAACCGATTTCCTTCATCTCTCTCTCTCTC